ATATGTCCTAAAGGATCCTATCACTGTAGCATCTTGGGCAAATTTCCAATAGGGTCCTACAGGACAGTTAAGGACATCCCACAGGATTTTTAAACAAATTCTTATTATTGGACTGCTACAAGAAATTTTCCGCGAGGAAATAATAATAATAATAATAATAATAACAACAACAAAGCGCTGTTATAGTTATTTTGTCATATTCTCGCAAGCCATTCCAATCTAATGTTGCTTATATCATATTGCATAGAATAGCCGAATAATAGTGCTCATGCATACATATATATATATATATATATATATATATATATATATATATATATATATATATATATATATATATATTTTTTTTTTTTTTTTTTTTTTTTTTTTTTTTTTTTTGTTTTNGCGACGAAGGCGAAGAACTGGACATTTCACCCAGCTTTGAAAATTGTAAAAAATTTGTCATGTGAGTAAAATTTCTTCATGGTTTTTACGATTTCAAACTACCAGGTACCTGTAGTAAGATCCTAATGTATAATACGCGTTCTAAACTTCTAGGTTGCAATTGTCTGGTTAGTTAAACCGATTTGAGAAAAGTTGCATAGTATTATCTCTAAAAATCAAGAAAACCACGTCTTGCCAGTAGACACAAATAATATGAAGAAAGTTATATTAGATAGTTTGCTTTTTGGTGCCCAAATGCTGTCAATTCAATGTCAGTCAATATACGTAATTGGGTCACCTGAACACATTTTGTATTTCAAACACTTCCATAGCAGGGGCGGATCCAGAGTTATTTTTTGACAGTCTTCCAATTTATCTTTGTTGATCCGTCCTCCATTTTTGACCGTCTTCCGACAGAAAAAATTAGATACCCGTCAATGTAAACTTGAAAATCTGACCGTCTTCCGGAAGACCCAGAAGACGCCCTAAATCCGCCCCTGCATAGTACATGTACTTGGTGAGCCCCCTCAGATGCTGCCAGAAACTGATCAGTATAACATTTCAGTTCGTTTTATATAGAAAAGATTTTCATTTTTGCAATTGAAACGTAATCGAGAGAACTATTTAAGTTTTCACGACGACATGAAAATTCTTGATATCCAAAGGATAATTTCCATGATTTTATAGTGACCCCATAGTTCATTTTACAAATAATAGATTTAGGCTGTTATACCATTTACCCAAAAATTGCTGTTCATGAGAAAACTGAAATATGTATCAGATCATTAGCCTTCTGAGCTCTAAAGCTTTGACTTAATTCTTTGTCTTTGCATTGGGCGCGCTTTCCACTTGTATTGGTAGCATTTATTTCTTGTCATTCTTCTCATAGTGAAATATCGAAAAAATTTGGATCTTGAAAACAAACCCTTTTTTCTCGATTTTTCAAATTTGTTGTTCAATTAGCCTCAGTGTGATTTTTTTCAGCATGAGCACAAGTCTGTCCATTTTCAGTTACATGTAATCGAAACTTCATTCAAATAAAATATGGTATTACACGTATATCAATATCGTAAACTAACTGTTATTTTTTATGTTTCAGCACTGCCAACGCCTTTGTCGAGATCCTGCAGAGTGCCCTTGCTTCTGACTAAAGCTTCCCTCGTCTTCGGATCGGATTTTAAAACCTGCCACAGATCCATTTTCACCGCAGATGCTCTTTGTTGAAAACTGTAGCCTACGTTCTCTCTCTGTGATTTTCAAAACTTTAAAATATATATATATATTATGCGCTCACATTATAAGCATCGCACACGACAGATGTTGAAAATTGTACATGCTTTCTCTATGATTTTCTACACATTTTAGGCCTGCATATTAGATTGTAACATGTTAAATTGTTGTACAAAGATCGATCCTGTTCTCTTTTTTAATTTTTAATTAAACTCATGAATCAATTCTTTTTGTTTTCAAATTATACCCTATGGAGCGATCATGATTTTTTAAATTATTCCTTGGGACATCCTCGGATGTATACATATACATATGATTTTATTTAAAACCCATCCGGTTTCTCTCCAAATTCATCTCATTATGCAGTAGTGCAAATATTAACTTGTTTAAAGTGCCATGATCTGAGTTTTTGCAAATCACAACTGTCAAACTTGAGAGTAAAAACGCAATTTTTACAATGTCGGTTAAGATTGTTTATTTAGTCAATCAGCTTCCTTATCATATCAATATAATTTGAAATATATAAGTCAATTGTTATTGTTAATATTTGACATTTGTGAATGACATATATGAAAATAAATGTGCTTTTTGGGGGGTTGTTTTCGATTTAATCTAAAATACTTATAATTAAAGTAAAATTGATATGTACTGGATTATTAAAACCGATACTCTATTTGTAATGCATTTTTTGTTCTTCAGATTAAATCTAAAATTGGTTTTAAAATTTGTAAATGAAAAATTTGAAATTAACACAAAGCACTTTCGTCATAATGACACGAAATATTAATATGAGTAAATTCTGTAGCTGCCAATTTTCATATGTATTATTTCCGTTAAAATTCAAAAGGTTATTATCACATGTCGGCCTATTATTTGTTCAATGAATCCAGTCCTGTTCAAAGACTGTTCTATTTTCTCATCTTTTATTATCTGAGTACATGAATCCTCCAGTGAATATTTACATCGTTTCATCATAATTCTCTGTCATTAAAGCTGTCATATAATAAAAAAAATATATCGAAAATTTGTCTTTGCTTGTAGATTAAAATAAATGCTACTGGAATGACAGCGCGTCTTTGGAGTAACAAGTAGGGCGAATTCATTCCATTTGAGGGGTGACAGGTGGGGCAAGTCCATTCTTTTTAAGGGGTGACAGG